TACACAAGTGTGGGTATAAAACTCTAATGTAAACCCATTCCTGTCTTTAGGATTAAAAAAAAAAAAGCCTGTCATATGCCAGAAACTGGCTGGAGCCTGGAGCTTGGCGCTGCAGACAGAGTTAACAGTTTGTAGGCTTTGAAGCGAAAGTTTTTTCCCCCTCTTTTACTAGCAATGAAAAGAACATTAAAAGAAAAGCACCAGAGTTGATGAGGACTATTTTTCCATGGTGAACGATGGAATGTCTTTCGGTAGAGTTGTCTACATAGAAAGCGAGTTACCTGAAAGCAGCTATACTCGCAGTCCCTGCCGTGTCTTACGTAACCGCTGCCCCGGAGACATACAGCATCTGTGGATATTTTAAATACACCATCTTCTTCTGGAACACCCGGTGGGACTCAAACCCTGTGAGGTCTCCCTCACAGTTTTAGGGGTTTTGGAGCAGTGGTTCTCAAACGTTTAGGGAGGAATAGCTTGGAGGTTTATTAAAATTCAGAGGCTGGGATTATGCACCCAGGGACTGTGGTTCTGTGTGTGTGTGTATGTGTTGCAAGAATATATTTTCTGGGCGGGGAGGAGGTTGTTTTTTAACAAGTAACCCAGATGATTCAGATGCAGGTGGTCCCTGGGCCTTACTGAGAAATATCACATCTAGAACCTATAAAATGTTAAAACTCTTTGGCCTAAAAGAATTAGGAGTTGAAGTCACACTATTTCTATTTATAAAAGTTCAAAAATAATTGGTTACTCCAGGAAAAAAGAGCAGGCGTGTTTTCCATTTCCCTCGGGTTTTCTTATTATATCTCTACCGCATTCCTCTGAGATAATGAGGGTGGGTAATATTATTCTGACTTCGCTGATAAGGAAATTAACACAGGCTAAGTGATTCACCAAAGGTGACAGAGCTAGTTGGGGCAGGTCTCTTTGGCCTTTTACACAGACATCAAATGATATGGCATCCCCTCAGATACTCCCCAAATCAAGAAGCCTTGAGAAACACGTGAAGAAAATGAAAGTACATTTCCTGATCCAGTTTTAGATAAAGTTTTCCTCATCTCTCTAATCAAAAGCTCTCCTTCAGCAGGCAACTCTGAGCTAAATGAAGTTTGTAGTTTTCCACCTTCAAGCACTGGCTTTGGGGACCCATTATGGAGACTCTTGTAACCCATGGTTATGCTACTGGGATAAAGAAAAACAGATGGTCCCCTATGGAAAAACATCAGCACATATTTTCCCTGGTAGGGGACTTCGGCTTTAACCAGGCTAGACACAACTTGAGTTTTTAATTCGCTTTAGATCTAGCTTGGTCCTAGAAAAATGGAAAAACAAGGTGTCCCTTAAAATCCCACAAATGTTGAGTATTTTCAGGAGGGAGTCCACAGATGACTTCTTTGATTTCAGAAACTTCCACTGGGACTTCCTGGCTCACTGTCTGGTTGGGTTTTGTGTATCATATCATGAAGTGCTGGAGGGAAGCTAAAGACCCTTTGACAGTGGAAAATCACTCTCATCTAGAGCCTTCTCCTCCTTTGCCCTCGAGGATAAACCTGCCTTCTCCCTCATGAGAAAAACTCCAGATATAAAGGACGAGACAAAGAAAGAAATATTTAACCAAATCCATTAGGAAACCCCAGCAGAAACAACTGCATCTTTTCAACAGTTTAAGATGTTATGCATAGACAGAATGTTTTGTGTGGGGCATCTGTCTCGGGCTCCCGAGTAAGAAATGCCATTTGCCATTAGACACTAGTTTAATTCCAAAGCTCAAAAGAACCGTGTTCATTTGCCAAAATCCTACTGCTCTGTGAACTACAAAAAATGGTTTATACAAATCACTAGAAACATCTAATAATAATAATAATAAGAGTCTTTCCCCAGAGTACCCCTCACTCCTAAGCATTCACCAACCGTCTTAGCTCAGGGTGCTATAACAAAATACCATAGACTGAGTGGCTTATCAGCCAGAGACATTTATTTCTCACAGTGCTGGAGGCTGGACGTCTGAGATCAGGGTGCCGACATGGTAGTGAGGACCCTCTTTCGGGTGCAGACATCTAACTTTTCATTGTATCGTCAACAAGGCAGAAAACGAGTGAGCTAGCTCTCCGGCCCCTTCTTAGAAGGGCACCAATCCTCTTGATGACCTAATTACTTCCCAAATGCCCTACTTCCAAATACCATCACACTGGGGGCTAGGGCCTCAAAACGAGAATCTGAGGTAGGGACACAAACCCTGAGTCCATAAGACCAACCTAGAACCAAAGGGATGACCTTTGGGCATATTCTCAGTAGTAGCCCCGAGGAGACCTGTTCCTGCCTGTACCTGAGCCCAGCTCCCGTCTTTCTTCACGATAGCCTGTAATTCCTTCTGAGGCAGCAAGAAGTCTTTGGGAGACCTCCGGCTAGTTTTGGCCACGCTCCACGTAAGGGCTTCTTCAAAAGTGTTCAAAGAATGAACAAACCGCTGGGCAGCAGACACCAGGTGAAAGAGTGTTAGGTTGGCTCTGACATTGTTTTCTGACACTCGGTCTCCACTAAGAGGTCTCCCCTGGAGGAAGACTAGTGATCACAAACAGCTCCACACACACAGACAGCAGAATACCCACTCGGAAGTCCTGTGCATGAAAACTACATATTAACCATCTCATTCAACGTCTAATGAGAACCTCAGCCTCAGCCAGCTATGTTCGATTTCAAAACAACATCATTTGCCTCATGCAAACCAACCAACCAACAAAAAAGCGAGAACAACAGGGAATACATAAAAAATTAAAAAAAAAATTTATACCAGTGATTTGTGATTTGATATTACAATTTCTTTGCTTTGGGATGGTAGGAATACCTCGTTAAATGTGTTCGAAAGGTCCCCAACGACAGAAATTTCACCATTAGGCCGAGCCCTCACACCACACAGACCAGCATGCAGCTTGGATAGTGACTATGTGGCATGTTAGTAGTGTCTGCCTGGCAGATGTGGTCTCTCTGCCCTTGGAAAGTAACTTGCTGCTTGGAGTGAGTCAGAAACCAGCCCCGCTCGTGCATCTCTGACCTGGAGTTGCTGCTGCAAATGCACACAGAGGGGGCGCACCAGAGCATCTGGTGGGGGGCTTCCAAAAGAATGGGTTTTGTTGGCTGGTCACACATGGACTGATTCCATTCTGCCAGCTTTCTCTCCTCTCACCTAAGAAACTCTCTGCATTGATCGGCTACTGTCCTGCACTGTAAAATCCCCTGAAAGAAACAGTCATGAGGCCACACCTGCTCTTGCCCAGAAGGAAGAGAACACGAAGCAGATATTCTAGGCACCACCGCCTTACCAATTGATCGTTGTTGTGAATACTTGTCTTGGTTTGTTTTTTGGGGGATGATTCACATTGCTTTAAAATATAACTGATTTCTTTAAATGCTCCACAATCTTCTTGATTCATTCAATGCGCTGTGATTTCTGCCATCACTTGTGTTTTGAAAAGAACTGCTAAGTGTGTTATGGGTTTGTCCTCAATCCTTACAGACAGTGTAGATGCATTAGGGGACATACACGCCTACTTCTGTAGCACATGTCTGTCCTGCTTAGCACCCGCACTCAAGAAGGTCTGGGACACCCTGGGGTTTATGTCAGCTACTGATTCGCCAAGGGAACAAGGCATGCAGTGCCACCCCTGGGTTATCTCACATGACACAACTGCTGCCCGTGTATTTAGAGTTGGGTAGACCCAGGAGTTTGGGCTTATTTCTGCAGAGGAAGTGAGGCTAAGATAGTAGCCAGATGTGGCATGCACAGGCCTGGCCCTAAAATATGCATTCCTGGGCAGGAACACCAGTGGAAGCCCCTGACCCATAGGCCTTCTCTTCTCATCCTTGGTTCTATTCCATAACATGAGCGTCCTCATGCAAATCGGGGTGGCTAACATTGAATGCTAACATTCAATTGGCCCAAAGCATGTGTCTTGCACTAGCTGCCTCTTGGGCCAAGGGTATTCACAAAAGCTTGGATCTGGGGAGAGGACCAGGCAGGCCTGGGAAATGGGCTTTTGTGGCTATTGGGGAAGGAAACTAAAGATCCTAGGAACCTAGGGAATGGTCTAGAAGTAGGATTCTGGCTCTGTGTACCATGGGCTTCTCACCCTATGAAGAGGAACAGATCCAGACAAGGCCAGCCAGCTCAGAGGCTTCCAAAGCACAGAGCCTGGGGCAGCCACTTGCTGGGATCTTAGGGCAGTGCTGGATATGGGCAGACCCCAAAATGGGGGTCTATGGGGTGAGCCTGGAGTGTCTGGGCCTGTGCAGCTTCATCTGTAAACTGAGGTGGTTCAGAACCTGGAATTGTCAAACTCCTCTCCAGACCCAATACTATAGGGTTCAAGATCCAGCTTGTCACTGTTGATGGCTCAGTCTCAAACACTGGATAAAGATAATACAAAAGAAAAGAAAATACTAAACAAATTTAAATGAATATATAGGTCTTCAATCTCAGCCTCTCTAGTTCAAGAGATGAACAATGAGATATTCTGGTTAATCAATGATCTGGCTAATGGAGTTGTTAGATTTATCTTTCACAGGTAACTAATAATCAGAGCATAGTAGTACACTTAACCTCATGATGACCATCCACATCATCACTGGATGGTGAACGACTCAGAACATCTCCAGTTTTCCAAGGACCATGAACTACCTGGACATGTCAGGACTGTGTGTAATTAACACACAATTCATTATGGAAACGTGGACATGCCGGGTAGGCCAGCAGATTTAAGTTGACAATCTCTAATACGTAATAAAATAAAATTTAAAAAAAAATTTCAAATGCCATTTCTGTGGACAAGGCAACCTCTTCCAGGTTCTCTGATTTGGTCTGTTTCCCTCCTGATGAATGCTGATGGAAGCAGGCCGCACCAACCTCTCCTGAAGTTCATCAGTGTCATGAGACACAGAGAGCCCACACATGGAAAGCATCATTGTCATGAGAAAGGGAAAGTCCACTCACAGTTAGGAGTACTGACCTGTCCTTTCATATCTGGAGCAATGGGAATGGTGGGCCAGATGGTTGAGTAGATGCCAAAAAACACCAGCCAGATCAGCATGCTTCCCCAGACAGCCAGATGACTGAACTGCAAAGGAAACACAGACTCAGGTGGGGCTTCTCTGCTGGCAGAGGAGAGCCACCTGAACCCCACCTGCAGCAGAACCCCTGTGTCCAGGCCAGCTTTCTTCATGGAAACGTTTCGACTAGTCATCCATCATTGGAAAGTGCCATCTTGTAATTATCTTGTCTCAGAATGTTACACAGTGAATTCAAGGAACTGGTGGCCCCAAACTACCCTGAAGATCAAGGTGCTTTCTCTGCTTCAGCGGATTTTCTCCTAGACCCATTGCACAGTTTTAGCTGGCTCCTGGCTGGTCCTCACCAGTGTTTGCTCCAACTTGGAGCTACATAGGCCAGTTCACCTTAATCCAGTAAGAAAGCAGCAGATGGACAAAAAGAACAAGATGTTCTTACTTATTGTTTTGAGACTTTGATTATTCTTTCCATTTTCCAAAGAATTCTTTACAAATCTGGGCTGGATATTACATCTTAACAATCCTTTAAGCATCTGCTGAGTTGTTAGCCTTTTCTCCTTTGTCTTCTTAATATGATGACCCCTGACTTCTTCCTTACTTCCACACTCCACGATATAATCCATCATCAAGGTCTGTTAGCTTTTCAAAAGTAATACTTCCGGAATCTGACCATTGCTCACTACCTCCCCCTGTAAGAGCCCAGGCCAAGCCTCTTGTCTGGATTAATTACTATTGTCACTTGATGGATTCCCTACTTCCATAAGCATCTCCAATCTCCTCCCTCATTTTCCCAGCACAGAATTAGGAGCCTATTTATACAGCAGTGATAAATAAACACGAAACATGGGTTATGTTCCTGAAATGTGGTACATCACCAAAATGTCTAAAATTGGGGAATGATTAAATGATGGGATATTGATCAAACTTAATACTCTTTAATCATGAACAAAGATTTTGTAGAAGTACACTTTAAGGTGTGGAAAATGTTCATGATCTATTTTTAACTGAAAAAAGGATCACAAAACTATATGCTCTATAATGCATTATCTTACTAAAAATATACACGTGGAACAACGTCTATAATGTTATCCAGAAAAATGTTAACAGTAACTGTCTCCTGTTCATAAAGTTATGGAAATTAGAAATTCTCCTTTTTGTCCTTCTGTATTTTCTGTGTGCATATACATTTGAAACGAGAGGACTGTTAATAGCTTAGAGCTGTTAGTAAGTGCCAAGCAAATGAATCATCAGAAAACTTTGGATTTGCAAATTTGCCCTGATAAAGATCAAATGACAATTTTTACATGCAAAATTTAAATAAGATAGCTTGATCCTGCTGATTGGTTTCCCAAGGCTTAAAAAAAGATCCATGCCATCAAAATATCTGTAGTGGATAGTGAAACAGTTCCAGAGAGAACTTACTTTAGTCCATGCTGTGGTCTCCAAACCAGCTTTCAGACACACAGTGACAACAACATACTGTGAAAACAAACAGGAATTGGGGAAAATGTATTATCCTCGGTGACTTATTATTACTTTCCAGGAGAAATCCCAGGTCTCCCCTCGAGAGGCGGTGGGAGTCACTTTTGTGCTTTTCTTAGCTTGGAGAGATTTGGGGAAAATCACCTTCTTTGGTGCTGCCTTTTTCACAGCTGGATGTGAAACTGTCATTTGAAGAACAGGGTGACCTGGCAATCACCTGTCTAGAAATCTTGACTCTGCAAAATTTCCGTTAGGAAATGAGGTAAGCCTTTCACAACCATTTTGAGCTTTAAGGAATCTACACTACAGAGTTGAAAGATTTAAAACAAATCATATGAAGAAAGGCCTTATATAAAGGGCTTCCAGAGGCAGCACCCACACGTACGCCACTTAAGAACAGTTCTGTAAACAGAGAGATAAACTTACCGTGTAAACAATATTTCCAACAAATAAATAGTCTGTGGCCTGGCCACTGGCCAGTGCAGTATCTGAAAAACAAAGAAGTTATTACTAACTTCTGGGGAAGAGCACTGCAATCTGTTTTGTTCAGAACATAAAAACAGAACTTTAGAAACATTTATCAAATTGTAAGGGAATTTCAAAAATTTCATCATCTGTGATTCTAATGCCTCCTCTTTCTGTGAATATTTTTCATCTTATATTTTTTCCAAATGAAGCAAACAAACAAAATCAGGTTTCTAATAAACTGAACCAAATACTTGATCTGTATTGAAATTTACATTTTTATAAAGATTAAAATCTCCCTTTGTGGGGTTAAACAAAGGGAAGAGTAAGAACATAATAATCTATCTTTATTAATAGCAGCATTAGACTTTTTATGAGTGCTCTTTTACTATTTATTTTTAATTTTTGCAAATTGGAACTATGGACCAATAAAGGAAGATAACTACGTGAATACAAATCAATTCATAATTACTGAACTCAGAGAATCTTGGGGGATATTCACTACTCATGTTCTCATGGGCAATTGCATGAACTTCTGAAGTCTATAAATTGGGGGAATGCAAGCAATCCAGTGAGAGACATCTAGACAATACAACTAGAATTTTGAAGCTTTAATTTTCTTATCTTTTCCACTTTTTTCCTTTTTATGGATGGCTATTACAATGTATAAAACAATCACTAAGGCTGAAAACTCTAATAGAATTGTCTAACTTCCATCAGCTAGCCTGCTGTGAAAAGCCTGGTTATTATCCTGAGGGGTCAAAGCCTGTTTCAACATCAGGAATGGTTTCTTTGGATGGCACTGCTAATCTCCTTTTATTCCCTTTTATACTCAAATTCAGATCTGTGGCTGACAGACCAAGTATTATAGGGATTTTTGTGTTCAAATTTCCAACCCAGTAGCTGCCATACACACATATTTGGGTTGGCTGATTTACCCATCTGCTTGTTGAGGAATCTGACTCTTATTAAATATTCAAGATCTGTTTAGTTTTCTACAACACCAAAATGACCAAGTAGCATCATAGGCAGAATCTGGTCACTGTGGGGCCATAGATCAAGCTCCAGGGCACGGCCTTTCTCCTGATTCTAGATAAGTATATTTGTGGATAGAAGGAAAGAAGAACTGCAAAGTGACATTATGGGCTGTATTAACTATACACCTAAACTAAGAGACTGCTGCTGGGGAACATAAGAATTATCCAATGAGAACAGAGAGAGATGGCCACCGACTTACAAAGGAATGATCTGGAAATTTAGAGGAGACACTTGAAACTTAGGCAGAATTTCATTAAAAGGAAAGGAAGGAAAAAGTTCAAAACACCTATTCTTCCATTATTGAGCAATAAATAGGAATGAAACACTGAAACATGCTTAACATGGGTGAACCTTGAAAATCTTGTGCTAAGTGAAAGAAGCCAGTCACAAAAGGCCATCTATTATAGGATTCTACTTCTTGAACTGTTCAGAAGAGGCAAATCTACAGAGACAGAAAGTAGACTAGCGATTGTCAGGAGGTGGGAGTTTTTTGGGGGTGGGGCCAGAATGGGAAATAACTGCTCATGGTTATGGGGTTTCTTTTGGGGGCAGTGAAAATGCTCAAACACTGATTAAGGTGACAGTTGCACAATTACATGATATATACCATAGAATTGTACCCTTTAAATGAGTGGATTTTAGGGTATGTAAATTATGTATTGATAAAGCTGATATAAAAAAAATTCAGTTCCTCAGTCACAGTCACATTTCAAACACTCAATGGCCACAGGTGGCTAGTGACTACTATATAGGACAGCACGGATACAGAACATCTCCATTGTCACAGAAAGTTCTACTGGACATTGCAGGCCAGAGCAGCTATGCTGAAGGTGGAAAGAAGTATAGGAACTGGCACATATTTTGAAGATGTTAGGATTTAGGATTTGGATGTGGGGTGGAAAAGAATGTGAGGAATCAAGGGTGATTTAAGGTTTTTGCCTGAGTACCTAGGTAAACAGTGATATCATTTACCTGATTCTGGTCATATTAATACAGGAATATTGATTAAAAGAGTGACACATTAAAACCTGGTACTGAGTGGTCAGTATTTTAAATTCACAATAGGAAGAACAGGTAACAAAGAAGCATGATGCTATTAAGAGAGAAACAAAAGCATACAGAGGAAAATGAGGTGCTGAGGAGTCAGGTTAGTGGGGAAAAAAAATCCCAGCAATGAGCATTAGAAGACCATATTCCAGCCCTGCTCTCTTGTTCCAGCTCTACCATTATTTAGTTCCTTAAAATGTTCAGTTCTAAGTCTCATTCCACATCTCTAAGATGGGGATTTTATACTAGATACAGACGATGATGACTGAATTATCACTAAGGTTCCTCTAAGAAAATTCTAAGACGATAAGGTCTGTGTTCTTCGCTGCTACATCAGCTTCTACCAGTAATGGTAGAAACTGGAGCATTTCAGATCTTCCTGTTCAATTTAGCTCAGGGGGGTTTTCCTAGTCTCAGCCCATGTTCCTGAAAGGAGAACAATGATATGAGTACCCTGAAGTACCCACACTAAGCCCTAATGGAGTCCAGAGTCATCAGACCAGATGTAAGAGTTAGAAGGGGTATGAGACCAAACTGAAAATCAAAGTTCACAGTCATGGTTTGACAACTTTTTGAATTTCCTTTTAGTACTAATAATTCAAATGTTGGCTGATGCATGTACTAAAAGAAATGAACTATACAAGGCATTTGTCTAATATGAAGGGCTTAGAATGTGTTTCAGATTTTATGGACATAAACAGAAAATTGCTAAGCCTCATAAGAAATTCTACATTCAAAAGAGAGAGCAGGATGCCTGGGTGGCTCAGTTGGTTAAGCAACTGCCTTCAGCTCAGGTCATGATCCTGGAGTCCCTGGATCGAGTCCTGCATCAGGCTCCCTGCTCAGCAGGGAGTCTGCTTCTCCCTCTGACTCTCCTCTCTCTCATGTGTGCTCTCTCTCACTCATTCTCTCTCTCTCAAATAAATAAATAAAATCTTAAAAAAAAAGAGAGAGCATGTGATTCTATGACTCACTCTATGAGCACTTTACATATATTTGTATGCTTATTAACAGATGTAATACTAGTGTATTATTTGAGTTACTAATATGTAATAATAGTATACGTAATGCTCCTTTGCTATTCTAACTATATGAAACAGTATTATTATCTGCATAATCCAGATGAGAAAACTAGGGCAGCAAAGAGAAGTCAAATGACATGAGAAAGGTCATGCACTTAGTAACGAACTGTAAATAAGGGTTTGTTTTCATTACTGAGCTAGAAAAATGGATCCCAAAGAAAAAAAGAAAACTCCAAGAAGAAAAAAAAATATATTAAAATGTACTCCTTTGAAATACCAACATCTAATGGGAAAGAACTTCCAGGAGAGAATTAAGGAGGACAGGTAATTAGGTTCCTGTGACAGAGATTCTGGGCCACATAGGAAGTAAATGCAATGCACAGACCTGGGGAGCAGCAGATACCCCCTGGAACCTGAGTTGGGTGGGCACAGCAGCAGTCCCAAGTTTCTCAACCTTGGCACTGCTGACATTTTTCCAGATAATCCTTTGTTGTGCGCGACTGTCCTGTGCATTGCCGGATGCTCGGCCGCATCCCTGCCTCCACCTGGCGGATGCCAGGAGTCCCCACTCACTAGCTGCGACAATGAAAACTTTCTCCAGACGTCGCCAAATGTGTCCTGGGGGTCAAACTGCCCCGCCTGAGAACCACAGCATTGGAGGTAAGACAAAAGAGGAACTGGAATACACAGAAGCATATGGAATATACTGATGTGAGAGTGCCTACTGTAAGAAGGGAACCCTCTTCACTCCCGTCAGACTAGGAGAGAACGCAGTGACCCCCAGTTGTCCCACGATCGATCGACAGGAGACTTTAGTACAAAGTGATGCAACTCACAACGCCAGATGGCCTTTAGAAGGGGGCAAACTCCGGAATTACCTGTGGGATTGAGAACTCACTTATGAGGCCAGCACCTCTATGAAGACCCTTAAGACTACTGAACGCTCTGTGGACAACTTGGTGTGGAGAGAAAATAAAATAGGGAAGACTAAAAGACGTTTTCCAACCGTAGCTTCTAGAATCTTATAATGCATTAATTTCTACCTTATCAAAAGAGTAAAATGCTCACTGGCATTAAATACAATGTTTACACTTGAGGTAATCTGAACATGCTTAAAATAACTTTTAGAGAAGACAGGATAAACCTTTTATTTCTGTTCATCATTTTGGAAGGATAACTCAGCACTGCATCTTAGTTTTCTGCTGAGGAAAGAGTATCTCCTGCCCCACTACAAACTCATACATCTGGAAAGAATTTATTCCTTGAAGGAGAAACTCCTAAACCTACTTGAGATTCTGGGACACGCCAAAAGTCTCAAAAAGATAGCATCCTTTAGACAAGTCACAAGTCATCACTCTGTACACCACGTTGGGGAAATTCCCACAGAATGGATTGTTCTCTTATGGTTATATTTCAACTGCTTTAGAAGCAAATACCTGTGGGCATCATCTTTGTTAAATCCTGCCAATAACATACTACTGAAGGAAAGATCAGAAGTCCTAAGAAATCATTTGTGAATGAATGCAGCAATATGCTACAGCTTGCTGATAATTCAAGTGTAGAAAAGCCCATTTAGACTGTCCAGTGTATTCCTGAAGCACGCTGCTGACAAATTCTTTCTTCCCACTTTACTTAAATTTAATAGCACTGTTATGATTCCGGTGATCCACTCAGGAAAACATCTTTCCTGTAGTTTAGCTGTTTTTATTTTAGTCAGATATTTAAAATCACAAGTGATTATTTTTTTTGAAAGGGAAAAAGTAACCCCCAAACCCAGGTGAGTGGTTCGAGTTCCGCAAGCCAGCCTTCAGAACATTATTTAACCACCATCTATATAAATGAGACTGAGAACATTACTTCACACAAAGCAGCAAGGGGCGGTAGAGATGGCTATTTGGGTGGAAGGGGGCAGTGAGAAGGGAAGGGACAATTCGGGCAAAAAGGAAATCAGCCTGCACAGAGGTATGGAGGGGAGCGCCCCTCCCCCGCTGGGTCGAGGGTTGAGCTGTGGGACCCTGGTGGTGTGTGGGTGGGGGCCAAACCGTGCAAGGCTCTCAAGAGGTCCCTCATAAGAGAAATCCATCAAAAGGGCATGTGGAGAGATGTTGATCTCATCAAACCTTTGTTGTCCTATCTTAACCAGCAGGATGCTGAGCACTTCCTAACAGAAGCCCATCATTAGCACACAAAGGCTTGACTGAGCAGGAGGAGAGAGGTCAGGAGGATTAAGCTGCCTATTGCACCAAACAGCTGCTGTTTATCCCAACTGGGACCGGTCGGCCTTTAGCAAATCAAGGATCAAATTCACCCAGATGAGAGATGAAATGAGAGAGGAGGGCACTGCCTCTCCCAAAAGTCCATAGGAAGATTTCCATAGAGTGAAGAACTTTAAGAGTAGGAAAAATTCCCCAACTACTTCAATAAGACAGAGTCACATTTAGAATAATACTGTGGCTCCATGTGATGTAAAACCCAATATAAGGATGGTGTTTCCTACGTACATCAAAAGTGTTAAACAAAGTGACAGAGTTGGGGACACTCTCCCGGGTAGTCCGCTCATTCTCTTAGAGGCCAATATCATGCTGGGGCTTTAGGATCCACTGACCCACAGCAGTGGGTGTCACTGTTCTTCGAGACTTATATTGTTTGCAAAATCTGCTTGGATCCAGGGGCCAAAATAAAGTAGGATTAGCCAAATGTGGTTTAGAAATAGTCACTCAAACAGACTATTGTGAACAACTGGGACAAAACCACATGGACCCTCCACATTAGTAGTGACAGCCCAAAATGGTTGCATGCAAAAACCTCTCTGAAAATATTTGTGGGAAAACCCACGATTTGTAAGGAAAGTATGTCTCATTTTCTAAGCAGACAGAATGATCAAGGAACTTACTTCAGAATATTCCAAAGGGCTAGGCTGGTGACATTTTATAAAGATGCCATTTCAATTAAATGCTCATTAAAAGCATTACATCATTACCCAACTAAACCACAAGAATGCATCCAGAAAAGGCTCTGACAAAAAGCAAAATCTGAAGACAAAGTTATAGCATGGTCCTGTACGGTCAGAGAAGACAGGATTTAATAATCAAGAAAACAGATGGGGTGAATTTATATGTGCATTTTTAATGAAGTAAGAATCCACGGAACACCTGAATTACAAATCACAGGCACCTCACTCACATATGACTCAGAAGGGAGAACTGAGGTGGAGGGGCACCATTCCCTTGACATCCAGGCACCTGCCAAGAATTCTGGCTGCAGAGCAGATGCCAAGTTTCTCCTGCTTTCCCGTTCCCACCCTTTGGCTTCAGAGCTCTCAGCAGTTCTGGTTGAGAGCAGCCCTTATTCCAGAATTGCACAGGGTGTCTCTTCCCCATCTTACACTCCTAGCCTCTCAAGACTGCAGACGTTTGAAGGAGGTATTATGCCAACCAGGTACTACTGGATTAATATCAGGAGTGAAGAGGTATTCTAAGTTCCAAGTAACTCATTTACAAACTTTTACAACCCACCCTGCTCAAATGCCTGGACTGCCTGGACTATAACTGAAACTATTCTTTCTGCTTCCAATGCTATGTATTCACCAAGAGAAAATTTATTTTTTCCTTTCTCTGTAAAGAGTGGTATAAAATATTGGAAAGAGTTTATAGGAGGTAGAGTTTATACAAGTGTTAGTGATTATAATTACATTCATAACCAGTGCTGGGTTAAGTTCCTGGTTATATAAGCCTTTTTTCCTGGATTTTCTCCTCTCTACTGCCATTATTGATGGATAAAGTGAAGGATACAAAACTCAAATTTCAATCTGTTTCTTTTTTCCCCTTTTGTTTACTAAAAATGGATTTTAAAAAGGTAGTTTTAAAAAAGGGTGGTAACAATGATGAAAAGTGAACTTGATGGCCAATGTCCCACAGCCACCTGTGTAGCCGTAGACTCATCTCTTGTTCTTGGGTGCATAGCTAAGTAACGCTCCCTAGCTCCTTGTACCCTGGTGGGGCCCTGTGACCAGTCCTTGCCAATCAGACATGAGCAGAAGTGATGGATCATTTCCCAGAGATGGTCAAGAGCAACCACTCCTTCTCCTGGTTCTGTCCCCTACTAATGTGAAGGCTGAGAGTGCACTCAGGGGTCATGCATGTATTGAAATGGACCCAGAATTCATTTTAATGAGGTATGGTAAGATACACAGACATGGAAATGATTGTCGTGAAGGACGAACTTTATATGTAGAGATCCCTAGAAACAGGAGGCATGGATGCCATGCCAGGCCACAAGGGAAAGCACTGGGGTCAGTAAGGAGGCAGAAGAGGAAAAAGGAGAACATGGTCTAGAGCCTTTACTGGGGTTTTCAGGGGATGGAATGGACAAAGCAGGGTAGGTATGCTGTGTAAGTTTAGGATTGGATGGTGTGAATAATTTCAGCAGGCTCTGGATTATAGGAGTGATCTCTAGTTGTCTGGTATCTGGCCCCAGGGTAATTTAGGGCAGGGGGAATATTACGTTGGTGCGTGACAATTCATAGAGGAGATGGTTGGGGTTGTGGCCTCCGGACTGGTTGATATGAGTATCAGAGACATTCTTGCAGGGGAGTCCTTCGCTCTCTCTAGGAATGAAGTAGCCCTGGGAGGGGCAGTCTCTCCAGGATCAAGGCCCCAATCATCAGAGCATCAAAAATGTGGGTAAAAAAATATGGAACATAAGAAAATATGCTCAATGCACTCTTCCAATTGACAGTGACATGAGTAAGAAATAAGCTTTTATTGGGATACGTTCCAAGATTTGGGGGTTGTTTGTTACAGTTTAGTCCCCCCCGGCTAATGCACCTCAATTCGACTTCCTGATAAAGTTACAAGGGTTAGTGAAATCGGGGAACTCTGGCTCACGCCTCTTAGAGCATTACACCAAACCCGACTGCTTCAAATATGGGTAACACAGGGCTTATTAAAAGAGACACTGAAACCTAAGAGATATTTAACTGAATGAAAACAATGGGCCTCCAGCCCAATTCTGTTTCCAAACACCTGCGCTACGGATTTGTCAGGCAGAACACAATGTCCGAGCTTTCTCTCAAGAGGTCATTGTGTTTATTTATTTATTTATTTTTAAAGATTTTATTTATTTATTTGACAGAGAGAGACACAGAGAGAGAAGGAACACAAGCGGGGGAGTGGGAGAGGGAGAAGCAGGCTTCCCACAGAGCAAGGAGCCCAATGCGGGGCTCGATCCCAGGACCCTGGGATCAGGACCTGAGCCGAAGGCAGTCACTTAATGACTGAGCCACCCAGGCGCCCCAAGAGGTCATTGTGTTTAAAACAAGCCCAAATAAAACAAAAAATGTTCTGAATTTGGAAACTTGGGTTTATTTTAAGTATACTACAATGGGGTTAGTAATGAGGTATTTAGATTTATAAGCTGTAGTTTCATTTGTACAAAAATCTAAAAAACTTCCAAAGTATTCCATCTTTTTAGTTTTTAGTGAACAAGCCCCGTTCACTTCACCTACATGCTTCGGGGTCTTGGGAAGATCCTGCACTACCCTCTGTCTTCTCAGCAGGGGTTCCAGATGGCGGAGGCCACATGGAGTAATCACCCCCCTTTCTGTCCCATTTACCTTTTAATGTTCATCCCTAGATTGTTTCCATGGATTTCAGATCTTTTCAAATCTGGGCGCAGTAGGGTAGTGACTTGTAAAGGGGAACGAAATGTTGGCTTACTTGAAAATACAGCATTTTGTTGGGAAACTCTGTGGCTGCAATCGCACATTCTCCTGGCAGGCCCAGGCACTACAGCCATCAAGTAGGTTCGGGCCGTATTCACTCACGCAATATGGGCTCCCTACGGAATGCTCAGAAGCCGATGGCGGCCCGGCACAGAGAACAGACTCGTTTAGCTTTTCCTTTTCAATGAATAAATAACTGAGTTTAAGAAGTTGCAGTCTCAGAGAACAATGGCAGTCTTGCCCAAACTTAGCTGAATGTGAAGCAAGGCAAGTCATTAGGATTTACATGATATAAAATAGCTAAATTTTCAGTACCAGGTACAGATCAGAAGTAGTTCAAGCTCAGATGACCCAGTAATGCCACAAGCAGAGACAAGCAGGCTACGTTTCATCTTATACATGTGCACAGTTTATAAAACTGATCTTTTAGCAGCACATTTATTAAAAAGTATAAAACAGCCTTTTCCAGAAACCTCAAAAGACCTTGCTGCTTAATTAGTGCCAATAGAATAAGTATCCATATGGTAATTTTCCTTCTGAAAAGGGGTGGGAATGATTTCCAGGGTGTGGACTGTGAAGAATCCAGAAACAAATGTTTTGAGGAATTTTTCTCTGCTGCTAAGTATATTCTCTTTCTTCTCACCCCCCTCTTAAATTTCATCAAGAAAAATCTGAAAATTTCCTTTTTTTAAGTCAAAACTGATTCTACTTTCCTTTGCCAATAACCACATTCCACTTCAAGGAGGATTACTCACATATGCAGACTTGATTCCACCAATGGAAAACCTGAGCAGCCTGATACCAAGGGTCTTGATGAATTTCGGTCCCCGCAAAGGTGACATCTCTGGTTTTAACCTAGACTCACTTTCAGATCAAAGGGTGGGAGCTGCAGACAGGCTACAGGACTGAGTGTAATGTGATGGTTGGAAGAAATCTGATTTGCTGAATTGCTTGAGTGGAAAAATTTATTTTGAAACTTGAAATGAATCATCACAAACTCCATCAGCAAAGGAGTGTTTTGAAAGGTCTATCCAAAACCACGCAAAAATAAGCAAAGCAAAATTCTTGGAACCTTTCTAAGGAATGAATGACGGGCTCACACCTTCTCAAAAATACTTCTTCCCGACAATTATGCGCCCAAAGTGAACAACACTGGTATGTAAGCCTCTAAGCCTCTCTTCACAGATAGTGGAGAGAGAAGCCCCTAGTAAAATTCACCATCTTTGTGACATAATCCACAAAGTGTGGAACAATGAAATGAAGGACTCTAGGGACCTTAGCCCATTAGGCAAAACTCCTTTAGGGCCCTGGATGTGGGGCAGAGTCTGGAGGACACCTTCAGGTGGGACTTGGGGGTGGACAGAGATACTCCTCTGTTAGATCAGGGTCCCCCAGGCCTTGAAAGTGTCTTAGTTCCTCTCAAATCAGTGCCATGTTCCTGCATTTCTTTGGGGGTGAGGTGATACATCATTCTAAATGGTAAGTCAAAGTGTAGCAGGAACTCATCTATAGTTAAGACAGTAAATCAACACATATAAACAAGTAATCCAATCAGCTGCCATATCCCTGTCTTCTCAAACTTGCAATCTTTCTTGATTTCCACCACTGACTTTCTTTCTCCCTCCCACCCCCCAAAAAAAATTCACGCTCTTCCCAAACATTATGTGTTTTTCTACACAGCAGTCTTCCTACCTCCAACCTCTCACTGAGAAAAGTCCGCTCCCAGGTTTTCCTGATATGACCCTCACCTAACCCTAACCTCCCACCCTCCTTTCCAGCCACTCCCAACTGCAGGTGCCGTTGCTGACCCAGAGGGAATGTTGGGAATATGTGAAGACATGTTTTGATCTATTATAGTTGCATAGGGATGGGGAAAGAAGGAGGGAAGGTTACCAACATTTGCTGTCCAGCGTCCTGAAATGCTCATCAGGGCGCCCTACCAAGCCTGGAATCCAGGTACCCCCAGTCCCACTTTGGGAAGTACTGCCCATGGTGTCTTCAGGTTTGTGTGCTTGCCTGGTTGGTCCAGGAATGCTCTCTCTCCCCAACTTTCCTCACATCTGTCCTGCCCCACTTGATCAGCCCCTCCTCATCTTTCAAGAACATAAATGTCACTTCCTCGGAGAAGCCTCTTCCTTGACCCACTGGACTGGGCTGTGTCCCCGCAACACACAGCACACTGGCCATGAAGCAGTGATAGACACACCTCCTGATCATTAGCTCTGACCTTCCAGAAGCTGCCGGGGGGTGGGGGGAGAGGCAGAATTTTGATGTGTGCACTCTCAGGGTCTGGCACATTGCAGATATGCTGTGATTCTGCTAAATCAAGAGGTTCTAAAAACATGCTCCCTCCTCTTCAAGCACATTCCCATTTCCTGGGTGTAACTCTCCTTACACGCTCCCTGCAATACCCGGAGACACAACTAGTGTTCTTGCCTCTAGTTCTCCTTCTACCATTCACCTTATCAGACATGATACATTCATTCCCCCAAATGCCTCTGATCATGGTAGTCTCCTTGATCTAAAATCTAGGCTGGGGGCACCTGGGTGGCTCCGATAGTTAAGCATCTGCCTTCCGCTCAGGTCATGATCTCCAGGTCCCGGGATCAAGCCCCGCATCGGGCTCCCTGCTTGGCGGGGAGCCTGCTTCTCCCTCTCCCTCTACTGTTCTCTTCACCTAACTCTTCACCTAACATCTTAAGTCCTGACCTCTTAACCTCACATTCAAAACCCTGTGCTGTCCAGCTTTCACCCACCTTCTCAAACCTCTTCCTGTCTTCCACCCTTGCAGGGATCAACTCCTCGCAGCTTTCCACATCTGCCCTGATATTCCCCACTTTGTTTGGCTCTTCCTTCCATTCTTACACATCTCGATCCTACTTGGACTTCCAGGCTAAGCCTGGATATTACCTCTTCTATTAAGTTATTAATAATCCCAGATGAAAAGCAGTTTTCTCTCAGCCCTCTGAAATCCCACAGCACATTATCTGTATTTTACTTGAGGCAATTATTTTCTACTTTGTACTAGAAGTTTCCATGCATGAATCTAGTTTCCCTACCAGACCACAAACTCTTTGACGGTAAGACCCACATTGATTCATTCACTTTTCACCCTTAGAATCCACAGTCCCTTAGACATAAATATTACATGAATAAGGTTAATGAGCAATGATGCAATCATCTTTGCTATGCATTAATAGTGAGAATTTAGAAATTAATTCTAAAATATTCATTTGCTGGAGGAAGCCAACTAATGAACAAGCACACCAATGGCCTTCTATAATTCTCTGCCAAATATAATTAATATTTGCAATTTATTTCATCTTACACATTTTTACTCAATAGGTTAATGTTTACAACATAATTAAAAGAAAATCTCTATGCCAAAGGCTTAATACATACAATGAAATAATGGCATTGATGATGATAGTGATGATAATACAAACTGGAAAAACTCATCCTATGGGCTGGCTACTAGGCAAATTGCCAAATTTGAGGGACATGGATATCGGTGGCAGAAATGGACTTGAAATTCACTTGGTGTTATCTCTCAGGTAAATTAGTAACTTTTGGGAGTCTTTCTGCTTTTAAACACAGGATATTTCAGGTGAATGAACAGATTTACATAGTGGCATCTAGGGAGACTGTAGCAATTCCACCATAAATAGCAAGCTGCAATTTCAAAGCGCATAATCCTAACTCCAGGATTGGAAAACCATTTCCTCTACTGCAGAATGGACCACATTAGTAGCAATTCAATGACCATCTTATAAATCTTCTGAGAGTCCAAAGGCAAGCACTTTGGAGTTAGGACCAGAGTGCAATGTCTAGATAAGAAGGGTAAGGGGCCTGGAGATGGTACTTGTGGTGCAGTCCATGCTGATCCCTGTGTCTTCCTAAGTATGGGTTCAGGGATAAGAGGACAGCTGTCCAAATTGTTCTTAAGCTCATCAGACAAATTGCTTCCCATCCCCAGTCCATCCTGCTACAGTGATGGCAGCTTATATCACCAAACTGGCGGAGCTTCTAAAACAAACCACATTCAACACTCTTCTATTTGTAGCCCCTACTCACTCGAAATAAATAAAAATCCACATTGAGCAAAGATGAATCACAGGAAAGCTTTACAGTTCAAAGGACATGATTTTGCTAGAATGGCCCATGTTGTGGCGGGGG